AGCTTTTTCTGATAAAAGGTTATGTTTGGCCTGTAGATGGCATGTTCAGCAGTCACATATAAAAATGTGAAAGTAAAAGAGAAAAATTAAAACATATTTAAATGCAAATTGAATGTAAGCCAAATTAATTAAGATGACTCCCCCCCCCAAATATTTAAGGATTTCCCCATTTTGTCACATTGCAAATTTCACTTCAATGGTAACTTCTGAAATTCCTAGGGCTGCATCCATGGTTTGAGAGCTAATGGATTTTGTTTTGTTCCCTCTGCCAATAGTTGTGACAAAAAGCTATCACAATAACTAACAACTATCCCAGCACATCCAGAAGCAGTCTAGTAACTAAAATGTTATTTTATATTAAAAAATGTTGAATTTTAGACATTTTTCAGACGTTCTCTTAGCTTCATTAGTACAAGAAAGTAAAACTAGTATTAACCCTAGGAAGAGTATTTGTGCAGGTACCTTGAGAAAACTGAAATAATTAGAATAGTCAAGTACCAGCCAAAAATGGGATGGATTTATTTATTGTAATCACATTCTTCTTCTGTTACTATGTCCAGTTTAATTTCATTAACATATATGCCAAACACACACCCCTCTGCCAAGTAGCTTATTATTCTTTCAATTACAGGTTAATGCTATTTGTCTGCGGAATCAATCAACTACAATTACATATCTGTTGCTTTTCATATGTACCTTATAAACCTGACATAGATTGCTACAAGTTTAGCTACTTTGATAAATTGACGTCTAATTTAGACTACTACTCTTCCAAATATTTACAACCCACACATAAATGAACAGGTGCCCAAATTCAAGCTCATGCACTATAATAAATGACACAATGAGCATAATATTTCATAATATAACAAAGGAATGTATCACTAAGGATATGCTTTGTTTAATCCTACCTTAAAAACTGAATACATTACATAAAGTATAAACTGTTATGTATAGTTTATTTATACATGTGAATCAGGTTATAAACTACTGACATATTCCACAGGAAGCAAAAAGGAAAGTTTTCATCTTACGCCGATATTTCAGTATACTTAGCATATGCTAACTGAAAACTAAATATTTATTCTTCAGAATGAAAAAACAGTAAATGCACATTGAGAAGCTCTTAAAATCGGGAAGGTTATGTAAATGTTAAAGCTAAAACTCTAGCTCTCCAGAAAGTGCCTTGTAATATATGTATGCACTGTGTACACTACAAAAGCTATGGAATCATGTATGAATTTAAAGAGATTATGGATATACAATGTTCATATGATGAAAGCATGTTGATAATGCTAAAGTTTCTTTCTTAATACTCAAGGCAGTAAAACTAGATGAACTGGGAAGGATGTATGGTAGTAGCTTTTTCTACAAAATTTATCAAATGTCTAAAGCCACAGAATTTACAGTTACTTCCTTCAAGCATCAAATGAGGATTTAGTATACATATAATTGTTACTCCCACATACATTTACAGTTCAATTTCATAGGACGTTCTTGTCTACGATGACAAAGGTGGTTTTGTCCTTTGAAACAAGTGGACATAATGATGTTGTATACATTCCTCCATTCCCTTCAGCATATATTCTTGGTACATGAAATATGCTAGTAAGTAGAATTTATTGTACAAAGGGCAATCTCCCCTGCAGAAGGAGGAGAAAGCAATCAATAGGATAGCCTTTTATCACTGCAACTATATTATTCCCTTAGAGCTGATATATATCAAACAGACAGCTAAGTGCTTACTCGCCTTTCCTAAATCCTCAAGATACCACCTATGTGTAGAATGGGAGAACATTGTAGGAGATTCTTTGGTAGAACATAATTATGTCTGAGCTACCTTTGCTTCTCTATTAATACACAATGATATAAAGGGAAGCCAGGATAAAGTTATTGTATATTATCCCTTCAAGGCTTTATCTGACACAATAAAGTTGTAATCAGTGTTGTTGGGAGAGACACATTCAGGTGGCTCTCAGACAATTGGTTTGGGTTTACTAATTCAAAGTATTAAAATTTTGGATTAGTTTCTTCCAAAGCATCTTCCCAAGTATTACATCCAACTGAATATGTCTAGATTCAGTAGCTAAGCAGGAGGACCTGGGCCTGGTTGTACTTGGAAATCATTTTAACAGAGTGGAGATTCTTGAAACATGGTTTTTCCCCATTTTATCTAATGACCCAGAGACCTCCAGTTTCTTAGGCATAGAGGGGCAACATCATCTTTATTATTAGTCTACAAATCAACTAATAAAATAATAGATTTTAGAATTTGTGAAGCTATAACAGTGAACTAATATTTGTATCCTGGATAAATACATTAAACAAGGAAGTCAGACTTTCAAAAACAAACTTTGTGCCTTAGTTTCTATTTGTTGTCCATGCAACAACCATTCAAATATTTAAATTGTATATAATTTATATAGCTAATCTTAAAATTAGCTTCTAATTAACAGCAGATTTATAAACCCCATGAGCATATATGTAATAAACTACGAATTATAATCAACCAATTTACTTCTTTAGTGAACCTATTATTTGCTATATTTTATGGCTCTATTTTAACTATATTGCAAGGTAACATGAATGTGTGAGGATTTAGGAAGAAAAGAACAGTGAGATTAACATAAAAATAAGAGTCTTTAAAATGTAACTCTTTGTCCTGTATCTGACTGTTTCAGAATTTCATGGCAATTAGCTAAGTAGAGAGAGAGAAAAAAATAACAGCAGCTGGGCATACTATTATAAACAACCAGAAGGAAGATGAATACAGTTGAACCTATTTAGCGGATCATAAAATTGAGAACTCTTCCTGCCATTTGGTATCCTAAAGGAGTTGATCTGAAAATGTCATTCTCCTTGGATGGCAACAAAGAATATCAAGAGAAACATAACTAAAATGAATATACATTTTAAGAGTGAGGAATAATATATTTCTTAATACCCCAAAAGCAAACATTAATGTTTGACCATTTTACCAATATTCCACAATCAAATATGATGCTACCATTGTCTTAGCTGCACAGATTATAGATTTTTAAGGGGAGAAAAACTCTCTGCAAAATATACCATTTGTAACATGCAATTTTTCTTAAGAATTTTGTTCAAATCTCATTGTACTTTTGTTTGGAAATTCTAAGCAATTTACCTGTTCATTTTCAGTTTTAAATGCTAAATGAATTAATTAAAAAAACTTTAATTTTTAAAGTGAAATATCTCTTTTTTCTTTTAACAGTTAAATGCATTCCTTTAAAAACTGCTGATTTTCTTACACCAGTAAAAAAAGTTATTTGAGAAAGAAAGTCAGATTTATATAAACCTCAAGAACATACCTGAAACGGATAGCATTCATAATGGAATTCTACCTGTGTCTCTTCTGAAGTAAATCCCATTGGCTTACTTACATAAAAGTGTCACTGAATTCAAGAGGCTAGTCATCTATGGGAACATGCCATGAGCATTTGTGTCCAAACAGTTAATTCTACTCTAATACTCTGAGACATAAAAGCTCTTCAATTCACATTTTCCCCTTTTCTCATATATAGTTTCTTGGGCACAAATTGCATACAAAAATCTCTCAAGAATGCTTATAAAATTTGTTCACACACTGCATTAAGCCATGGTTTGCTAAATCATGACTGGTTGTACCACATCACCTATTAAGACATAAACGATATTGATGGATTCATAGAATATCACATTTTTTTTAAAAAAGGTCAAAATCAAACATGATGTGTATTATGGCTGAGCCCAATGTGTGAACTCAATCATTCTGTTCATGAACATGGACTTCTCTGAGATTCAGTGCAAAGTCTAAACCTGAGAAAACAAAGGAAAGGACCAGAAAAGTCCCAGAAAGCTATTTTTAAATATTTCATTTAAATTTTCGGGAAACACCTCTTCCTAAGCAATGTATAAACCCATTCACACTCCTTTGACTTTGACTCACAATAAAATAAAGTAGAATAAAAATAGCTCATGGAAAGTGAAGAACTAGGCAAAAAGATTCAGCAATCACATTCCACCGATTACAAATTCAGATTCAAATTTACTGGTTACAAGAAGTACATAAAAATTAGGGGAGAGGGAAAAGGTAACATTCATAATGAGTCTCCACTCTCTCTTTAGATCGTTATGGGAAAGAACATTTTAAGAGATTCGTCAAGCAACTTTGTCCCTTCGAGTATCTATTTCTTTCCCCCACGGCATTATTTTTCCCTGCCTTTATAGTAACAGTATTCGGGTGGCTACAGATAGACAGAGCCGGCGAGAAACCGCTTTTTCCTGAACCCGAGGGCAAACTATTTCGGATCCCCACGAGCTTCGCAGCTGCCGCCGCCACAGTCTGGTGTCTGTGTGCTCGCACTGGGGGCCCTTCGCTCGCTTTAGTGCTGCTGCCAAACCCAGCCAGTGATACTTGGGGGGGGGGCGGAGGAGAGATAGCATCTCTCGCATTACTACGGGAGAGGGAAGGAGGCGAAACAAAGCTCACTCTTTCACTGAGACCTACAAAGCGCAACCTACCGCGTTCTAGGAATTCTTCGAAACCACCAAACGCTCCCACTCGCAGTTCTCGCGCCTCCCTGCTCTTCGAGGGACCCGGAGTCAGGTCCCTGAGATGCTCGCGCCATCCAGCTCCCACACACGGCGGCGGCAGCAACAACAGTCCCCTCCCCCGGTGCCCGCTGTCAGCTCTCCCCCATTAATTCCCCCGCTTTGGACTGCTCCCGCCTCTTTCTCCCCCCCACCCCACCCCCACGCTAAGCGGCCGCTGACCCCAGCTCCGCTCCTTCCTGGCACATGGCCGTGGAGGTTGCCCGCTGAGCTGAGCCGCGCGCGCGCGCGCGCCGCTCTTCATCGGCAGGGCAAGAGACCTCTCTCGGTTTGGACTCTGGGATTTGTGACTGGTGTGTCTTAACTGGGACTGGGATGACTTCGCCTCGCCCGCGGGATCGCGAAGCAGCAGCTGCCAGCTCCTTTTTCCACACGCCAAGTCTTACCACGAAAAAGAGAGCAGCTGGGGTGTCAGTGTAGCCGCCCGGTTAATGCACAATCGCCCCACCCGGAGAAGGAGGTACTGGAGGCGGTGGCGGCAGTAGAAGAGAAGCAAGCCAGGCGTTAAAGACCCGGGAAGAAAGGCAGCAGCTGCTGGTCGTGCTTCTGCCGGATGGCTGCAGCAAGTACCCGTCGCCGCCGGTGCTGAGAGGCGAGCATGCTAAGGCAACTCGGGCGCTACCGCTGCGGCGGCTTTGCCTGCGTCTCCGAGGCTTCTATGTTGAGAGCGGCGGCGAGGGCTGGAGGAGCCGAGAGATGCGCGCGGCTCCGCGTGGCCCCTCCCTGCTCTTTGGGAGGGCAGGGGCGGAAAAGACAGGCGGGGGCGCTAGCGTCTTTTGCGCCAAAAAAGCGCGTGCGGGAGGGGGAGCACGCCTCATCCTTCAAACTGAGGGGACGGTGGCACGCGGGAGGCTACCCATTGCGCTTGACGCCCGCGCGCGTACACGCATTTTGACCTCTCCTCGCCATCCCCCAAACTAACAGCACTTTTCCTAAGTTTTATGCCAGGTTGACGGGAGGAGTCTGTAATGTATGGGTTTCCTCCCTAACATTTGTGTGTGCTTCAGAATTGTAATAAAATCGACAAAGAATCCATCTCGGTGGCTGTTTGCGCGTTTCGTGTGGACGCTGGACAGGAAGATCTTATGCAAAATAGTACATAGGTGCCAGGAGCAAGTGCATTCCGGCTATTCCTTTTTAACTCCACCCAAGTCAAAGTCTAGATGCTCTTAAAGGCAAAACTGCTAGAATTTAGTTCACGTGTTTAGTTTGCCTTTCTTCTGAAAACAATTCTTAACCATTTGGAATCGGACTCCTTTGAGAGTATGATGAAACCTGTGAAATGTACAGAAACTTCTCAGAGAAATGTATTTAAATGAATAATAAAATCCATATACTGTAGATTGATTTCCTTTGTAATATAATGATGTTCAAATACAGCTGTTAAAATATAACAAATGTGTAACATAGCAATATATTGCTTTATCAATCCATTAAGTCAATATAATGTAAGCTAAATTTCAGTTAGAGGTTAGTGAAAATAAAGTTGCATTTTTTTTTGATGTTCATGTCACCTGTTAAATCTATCCACAGATCTCCATAGGTCTGTGGATCCCAGGTTAAGAACTTCTTTTCTAGGAGTTTAGAATGGCTTACAGAGAATTCTCCCTTTGCTTTAATCCAGAACAGCCCTATGCAGTAAGTTGGTTTAGAGTTACCCAATGCATTTCTATAGCTGATGGACTTAAATATGGATCATCCTAATCCAACTTCTTACCCAGCATCTTAATCTGCTCTGCATATAACTGTAAGCCATAATGGATGGATTCACCCTTTATATTAAGCTAAGAACCATATTATGACTTGTGACATGATGTGTGTGAATTAGCTAACATGTGGCTTTTTGCATGTTCCCTTCCCTGCAGCACAAAGATGTAGTAGTACCTATTGTTATATGGTGTGCTGTCATAATGTTTTGTGTATCACATTCCTCAAACACAGCTGACTTTCAGAAAGCTGAAAGACATCTTTAGCTGTGTGTCAGGCTTCCCTGAGCGGGCAATGCAAAAAAACCCTTCAGCAATAGATTTCCAAGGACACAAGCTCAATAGGCTTATTTTAGGAAAGCTAAAATGCTACTACAAAAGCATTCCAATAACAGCTCTGTATCATCTGTAAAGTTCAAACTTTCAAAGTTTAAATGTTCTCTGCCCTTGCAACCCACTTGAGGGATACCGCAGGCTGAGTATCCCTCTCTTTCAGGTAGGAAGCCCAAATTCCATTTTTCTCTTATTTTGGTAATAGATCTTGCACCAGGTTATTATTTTTTTTGACTATGTGACAACAATTTCTTCCAGTTTTATATAGTGCTGTACCTATACACATTACTAGAACATTTCTGATATGGTTGATGAGGTGGCCAGAGACTGATTATTTGCAGCTCCCATGGACCCTTTAGATGCTAAAGCAGGGCCTCTCTGCTCTGGTCCCTGGCTACTTTTTCCACCACCATTCTACTTTATGTTTCAGAACAGGCTGAAAATTATTTATCAAGTACAAGAATTATATGAAAAAAGATATTATACTGAACATATGAAACAAACCAGATGATGTCTTATTAATTTAAAAGGATATACAAATAAAAAAACCAAGATCTGAATAATAATCTTATATTGGATTTGCAAAAAAGAGTTATTAAACCTTTGAAGAATTTTGGGAGAAGGGATGAAGAAAAAATGAAAAGAAATAAATTTAGAATATTTTAAGAGAGTAAAGATCAACATTGTTAAAAATAAAAGGAAGGAATATAAAGTTGGCTTATTTGAACAAGGTTAATATATATATATCTTTGGTAACACGCAGATCTGGTTGTCAGAGAGGGAAAACAACCCACAGTCTGAACAACAACAATGGCAAACAGTTCACTAGAACTTCCTGTCTAGGCCTTGTGGCACAGCGCCACAGACTAAATCAGGGGTAGTCAACCTTTTTATACCTACCGCCCACTTTTGTATCTCTGTTAGTAGTAAAATTTCCTAACCGCCCACCAATTCCATAGTAATGGTGATTTATAAAGTAGGGAAGTAACTTTACTTTATAAAATTTATAAAGCAGAGTTACAGCAAGTTAAAGCATATAATAATAATTACTTACCAAATACTTTATGTTGGACTTTCGCTAAGTTTGGCAGAATACATCTTTATAAAACAACTTACTGTAGTTAAATCTATCTTTTTATTTATACTTTGCATACATAGAAGCATAAAGTCTGATGAAATTACATTTAATTAATGAAATTATTAATGAGATCCCTGAGGCTGATGCTGCGAAACTAAATATTGGATATCTGGCTCAATTTTTGTAAGGAACAAACGAAGATCTCCTCTTTCGGAAATATTCAGGCGGTTTCTTTCTTTGGTCATAATATGATTAACAGCACCAAAGCCTGATTCCACAAGATATGACGTAGAGAAAGGTATCAATAAACTGAATATCATTTTCCACATATTTGGATATAAGACAGGCATTTTTTACTTTGCCATAGGTTTTCATATCGAATTTATGTTTACTTTCTTCATCATATCTAATTTCTAACAGTTCTTCTTGGCAAGTTGTATCAGCTTCTTCAATATATGCAGTAAAAAGGATTTTTCATCCAGTCATACACCTTCAATTTCAAAATATCTTCGAATTGTTTTTCCATGTCCAATTTAAGTTCATTGAGGTGGCTACTGAATCTTTCAATATCCTCTGGAGTTACATCATATTTTATAGATGATAATTCAAGAAACTAATGAAATTCTCTCTTCAATAGATTATAATGAAATAGTTCAAGTTTGTCAATAAATAATGACACAATACTTTGGCAACCTATAAGAGTTTTATTAGCTCCTTGAAGCTGCAAATTGACATCATGAAATTTCTTGAAAATATTTGCCAAATAAAAGGCATTATTCTTTACGGTTTTTAACTGTTGACACAGATTGGTCTCATTATTACTTTCAAAAAATTGTATGACACTATCATATAATGCTACAAAACGAGCCAAAGATGTACCCTTTGACAGCCACCGAACTTCTGTGTGCAAAAGTAACGTAATAAAATCTTCATTATTGTCCTGGCAAAGCTGTCCAAACATTCTATCATTTTTTTAATTGGATTTGATCTTGTTTATGGCTCGAATTATTATAGTTAATGATGGAGACTTGTACTTAGATGTTTTCCTATAAGATGTTGTCTATGCACCACACAATGAATACATAAAACATTTGGCACTTCTTCCTTCAAATAAGCAACAAATCCACGATAGCGACCTACCATTGATGGTGCTCCATCAGTAGCGCATGCAACAATATTATTCAAAGGAATATTATTTTTTGTAAAGTATGATTTCACAGTATTAAAAATAGATAATCCTCTTGTATCTGTAATGAGATTTATTGCGAATAGCATTTCTTCTCGTAATGTATTGTTTTCATCAAAATAACGTACATATGCCATCAATAAAGCATTATTATCTGCAATGGTAGACTCGTCCAATTGCATGGAAAATGAAGAGTTTTTCAACATTAACTGCCATTTCTTCAATTCATTGCTTTACTGTGCTATTGCTTAGGGGCAACATTTTTAAAATTTCAGGTATATCCTGATGCATTACTGTTGAGATAAATTCTTTTATAGAGGGCATTATTACAGTTTCTCCAATATTATAGCTTTTGCCACTTTTTACAATTAATTGTGAAATGCGATAAGCGGCAATTAATCCATCTTCGTTCGCTGCATGTTGTTTCTTAAATGATGCAACGATTGTTGAATGATTTTGAAATTTTTTATATATTTCCTGAAAATATTCAATGGGCTTGTCCTTATCATTTGGATGCTTTGTAGAAAGATGTTCTCACAGTCGACTTGGCTTCATTGCATCATTGGATAATGTTTTATGACACAATAAACACATTGGATGTTGTTTATTTACAACAGATTCTATGAAACCCATCTTCAGATACTCTGGCAAATAGCCATGAACGTATTTCTTTTTTTGAGACATGGACTCACAATATTTTGTTTGAAGCTGTAAGCACGTGCTCACTCTCACAAATCTAACTGTGTACTGACCAGTGTGACCGCAAACAAAAGAGCCTGCGCCGTGTATCATTGTCTGTTCATGCCTTTCATGCATCGTGGATTGGGTTTGCGGGGGCCCCCGGCTACCAGCTCTGTTTGTCTGTTACAGCTGGGTGGTGTGGGGGAAGATGCACGAGCTATTCTGAAACGAGGCTCTTTTGTTTGTGGTCGCACTATAGCGCCATTTAGTTTCACTTACATAACGTGAACTAAACTTATGCGCGGGCGATACAAATAGTATATTTTCAGAAATTTAAATTGTCACGGGGAATTTTATGAAAACCTAATGAAAATGTTTTTAAATAATGCTATGAATTTTTTTTAAAAAGTCAATTAAATTAAAAAAAAGGAAAGTGTTTCAGTATCGGACAAAACCCCTGCCGCCCACTATGAAAGCTGGAACGCCCAATAGAGGGCGGTAGGGACCAGGTTGATTACCACTGGACTAAATGGAACAGGTGGATCCTAAAATAAATTCCCCCTCGCTGAATTCACAGGTATTGAAAGTATGCAACCTGAACTTCAATGAGTAGTTAGAACAATAATGCAATTGCAATAAGGTGATCACTCATGTGATTATCTTGATGACGCTCAGAGTTGCCCTGAAATAGCGCCAAAATGCTTCCCCCCGGTAAAGGCCTGACACAGCAGGCCAAGGCAACTAATAAAGCAGGCCCAATATTGCTCAGAGGAACACAAGGTCCCTACAAAATGGTGTCTGCGCCTGAAGAGGTGCTCAAAATGGCCACACCTTAAGCACACGTTCAAAATGGCGGCTGCACCTGTTTAGCCCCTCCTAAAAATGGCGACCGCGCCGAGAAACTGGAGGAAAGGAGGCCCCCTGGAAGGGAAAAGACTTTAAGGGATCTCTCAATTTAAAACAAGCCCTCTTTTCCCGTTCCTCAAATGCACTTGTTGTTTAATCGCGCAGCCTCCACTGTGATCTGAATTCACCTGCTTCCAAAGAGAATCTCGTGGCCTCGACAACAGTTGGAAAAGGAAGCCCTCCGGTCTGCCTGAGCACTGAGGATCTCCTATTCGCCACAAGCCAGCTGTTCTGCTGATCCGCACTCCTGCTGATCAGCTCGATCCGGAGCTAAAAGCCCCACTTTAACTCGGCCTGTATCCTGCTCACAGGAGCCTGTTAGGCTCGTTGAAGCCCAAAAGGCCTGAGTAATATTCCAATCAAATAGTCAGCTTAAGTCCAAATTTCAATCAAGAATAAGCCAAATCTATTTAGAGACTTTTGAATAAAATAAAATCCAAATAAAAACCAAATAGTGAATCAATTAACTTAGTCTAACTGAGGAGCCAAAAGAATTGCGTCCTACTGAGCTGAGACTAAGTCAATAACTGGAGGAT